AAGGTGTTCGAAACCATATATACAACAAAAAGTAACTTATATGCTCTGAAAAAAGACTAACCTGAATTCAAGCTGATCCAAACAGCTGCAATTTTCCCAAAATCGGGTCCCACAAAAGCAAACTCATCAACAGCGCCTCTTTGAAAATGTAAAACATCATCAATATCAGTAGTTCCAAATGAAGTAGCAGGTAATCTTTGTAAAATCGCTCGACCATCCTCGTCAATCAAACACAGTAAAATTAAGGAGTTCAAGTCACTAAGACCTGACCCGTAAATTTTACTTGTCTGTATCCCGACTTTGAAAAATGAGACTGATTTGTCAGACACAAAAGAAGAAACCATCTTCCCAACTGAGGCATCTTTACAATCCTTAACTTCTGTAGCTGGTAACAGTTGTGAGGGTTTGGCATACTCCTGAAAATCTAAATCAAAACACTGTTTTTGGTTTAATGGAAGCACAAACAAAAGGCCAAATAGACAATTGTATATATTTATATGCCATAAAAAAGGTCACCAAATATGATATATAATCAAATCACATTATACACTTTTTTTCCCCTCAAAATACAATCATACACTCATCAACTTTTGAGTCCCTCGCATCGACCAATTGACGACAACATTCGACTATTTCACTAAAAAAATCACGATATCAACTATAATGTTAGACTTTTTATCTCATTTCCAATGACACACAGTGTAAGTTTGTTTTCGAAACAACTTTTTTCACACTATTCTTATAACAGGAGCAGTTTTCCCATATGTTGATTGCTGGCTGCCATCAAACTTCTTTTCCTTGTCGTCAAGAACAATAGCAATAGTACAAATGGAAAACAAAGCCCAAACTCTGATGACATCCAAAACTAATTAATAATAAAAATCAATACACTTAATCATAAATCATAAAAATCCAAATATTAACAATAAAAGCGCGCCTAATTTGCAACAAAAGCATTCACAACAATTTCGCTCTTTCATGCATGAATAACAAAGAATATGCACAAATTATATGCACTTTTCAAAAAAAAAAAAATAATAATAATAATAATTGAATTACACATAAGGGTATAGTACCTTGATAGCTAGACCTTTTCGAACGGACAATAAGGGGAAAAGACTGAAAATTTCTCCCTACCCATTTGTTCCGACATCGTTTTAGGGTACATGTTGCCGGGAATATTGCATGAGCTGATGAAATTAAAAAATTTGAACAAAACGACTCCATTTGTGAAACTTCTTCACGAACAGAGCTGGTTTATCTTGTAAGACGAGAATATCAAAGATTTTTCTTATTAATATTATAATCTTTTGAAATGATTTTCTTATTAATGCTGTAAGAGAGTGGCTGCAAGAGCCCAATTATAATTATAATACACTCGGTTACCCAATAAGCCCAACATCACATGGCCCAATACTTATGGGAAATTTTTATTTGTTTTTTAACAAACGCACACATTAGGTCTTGTATCCAGAACTCGCTTATAAATACCCATTTGCCCTGCGAACACTTTCACCTGTACTACACTCTCATAGTCCGCCGCTCTCTCTCTGTGTTCTCAGGTGCGTACTAAAATGTTTGAATAAACGGAATTTGAACCAACTTCTTCGCGCTGCTTTTCCTATTGTATATCTAACTTGGATCTCGTATTATCTATTCATGGAATTAGTATTGTTTTTCTTTTGGGCTTATGGTTTTACTGTTCTAGGGTTTGTGGTATGTGAGTTTTGGGATATTTGTTTTCAACGTTTTGCACTTGTTGTGTTAATTTATAAAGATGGGGAATAGAAGAATGAGTTGATGACTAGAATGGTTTGATGGTCAAAATGATGATCATTTATCTTGTATTAGCTCTAGCTGATTATTCTATTCCTTTCCCCTTAATATCTATTTTGATTTATAGAAGTTTAAAATGTTCCATGTTTGGAGAATTCCGTCCTATGCATTTGGGGTTGTATATTTAATACTAAGATTAAACCTAAAATGCTATGGATTATATGTGGTGGTGAATGATATGAGGAGGAGAAAAACTTGTTGATTGCCAGTATGATGGCAATGACCTTGTATTAGCTCTAGCTGATCATGTTCACGCCTCCTCTTTTTGTACTTTCTGAATTTAACTTTTATCATTTTTTAAGTGGATGACCTTTTATTTTTGTTTCCCTTAAACTTATTAATCTTATTGATGTGTGGGACTTCGAGTTTTGCCTTGTATCTTTACTTATTTCTGAGCAACTATTCTACTTTGTGAAACTTGTTGGTTATAACTCTATTCTCATTCATAGTTTTCAGTTTACAGTATTTTTTTTAATTAAATTTGATTGTGTAATTAGTGAAATGAGGGGAAGGAGCTATACACCTTCGCCACCAAGAGGTTATGGCAGAAGAGGAAGGAGCCCTCCCAGAGGAGGTCGTCATGGTAGAGGAGATGCACCCACTAGTCTTTTAGTCCGCAATCTTCGTCATGATTGCAGGTAAGTTGTATATTTTTTTGGTTGATTCTTACATTAGTATGGTTGGCTGATTAATGTCGAGAATACAATGATTGTAGTTTCTCCAATGATTTAATTTTGGTATACAGGCCAGAAGACTTGAAGAGGCCTTTCAGCCAATTTGGCCCTGTCAAAGATATCTATCTACCAAGGGATTATTACACCAAGTGAGTTTGTGTAGAGAATTGTCTTTACCACCCCTACCCTACCTCCCAAGAAGAAGATTGAGAAAATCATTTTCGATCCTTCTCTTTAAGTCTAATGAAGAAAGTAATTGCATTTTGGTTTTAAATTAGTTATTAACAGGTTGCTTTTCTTATTTCAATTTGTTTCTCATGAAGAAAATAATTGCACTTTGGTTTTAGATGAATTATTAATAGGTTACTTTTCTTATTTCAATGTGTTTAATATTTGATCTTCTTAATTTGGATATCAAGATGTTTCGAGATTTAGCTGTGAAGTAAGAGTTATGAAGACTCAATCAAGTAGTAAAGGGTTCTGTTGACTCATTTAGTAAGAGGTCTCTTGACATCAATCAGTTAATAAGGAGTTGAAGGTGATGTTAACGGTAATGAAGATTGTGGAAGGGTTCTTGTTTGATTACAATTGTGAAGATATCAAGATTCTTGAAGAATGTCAAGTCTTGTTAAATTATCATCAACCCGCAAGGTCAGCTGCCCAAGTGCTTGTTTATGCGCTTATTGAGGCCTTTGAATTGTTGGAATAATTTTCAGCTGTTACTTGGTTAGGGCATATTTGGGAATTTTTAAGGCTTTAAGGTGATGTAAATTAGCTTATTTATCTCCTTTTTATTTTTGTTTTATTTCTTTCCTTCCCCATTGCTGGTATATATGATAATATGGCTGAATGAAGAGTTTAGTTTGTCACACAACTTTCAATAGAGTTGATACGTTAAGCAATTTTTTATGTGCTTGGATGATATGTAACTGCACCAAACTCACTGATTTGTTCGGGCAGTGAGCCTAGAGGCTTTGGGTTTGTACAATATGTTGAACCAGCTGATGCTGCTGATGCTAAATATCATATGGATGGCCAAATTTTTCAAGGCCGGGAGGTTACTGTGGTTTTTGCGGAGGAAAATAGGAAGAAACCAACTGAAATGAGAGCTCGGGAACGAGGAAGGTCAGTTAAGCTTAACTTACCTTTAATTTTATTTGCATGAATTGTTGTTTGGTAGGCGGTACTGTAGTATCAAACTTACTGCTGTGAACTCTAATTCCATTTCTTAAAGAACGAATCCCAAGAGGACTCTATTCTTCTGACAGTAGCATGAAGTTTTAAAATAAATGAAAAAAATAACTAAAAGGAGGTTAACAGGGCTTGATTGATACCTTTTTTTTTTAATGGCAAAAATAAATTTATTGTCTATATTGAAGCATGATGCCTCAACCTTTTTGTAACATGATAAGTCTTGGAGATTGATTGAACAGTAAAAGTTTAACATGGAAATACTTTTTCCATGTCATGTGGCAAATCTGTCAAAAATGTAGCACAGAATTTTGAGTGAACGCAATTTGTAAAGATAGTACGAAAATTTTATACTCGTTACTAATTGATATCTTCTGTGACACTTATTGATATGTACAGAGGGCGTGTCTATGATAGAAGGCGGTCCCCACCTCGTTACTCTCGATCTCCCTCACCACGTTATGGGAGGGCCCCATCCCGTAGTCGTGATTACTATTCTACCCCTCCTAAGAGAAGATACTCAAGGTATGGTATTTTTTTCAGAATTTGTTGTAGCATCATTACACTTCATTACACTTCTCCATATATATTTTTTACTGCTGCTTTTATGAAGGTCTGTATCTCCTCATGGGAAAAGGTCTTATTCTCGGTCACCTGTGCCGGCCAGCCGAAGCCCTAAGAAGGAACGATTATCAAGAAGCCCAAATCGAGGGCATTCTCCTGTCAGGGCCCGCAGTCCAAGTCGCAGCATAAGCAGAAGCAGAAGCCCATATGCAAAGAGTGATAGGTCTCCAATCCAGTGAGAGAGGCACAAGAACTTGTTATGACTTTGGAATATGTAAACCTCTTATTGTTAATCTTAGGTTGAGTTAAATGGTTTTGGATTGTGTGGAATTTGGGTCGATCTTAATCTTAGGTTGAGTTAAATGGTTTTGGATTGTGTGGAATTTGGATCGATTTTACGCTTCAGCCCAAGTATGCCAAGTTAATTTATGTCTTTAACTGCTGCTGCCTTTATGTTTTATGTTTGTGTGTACGCTGATATTGTCAATAGATAAAGATAAATTGAGATCCGAGTATGATTGGATTATCCATGAATTTGGATGGTATTGTGTTCCTGCTCAATATTATGAGTTGATCTTTCAATGAGATGGAAAAACGAGGTCTTTCGGAATAAGTTAAAGGAACGAGAAGAGAATTCGAGTATTATGGCAAATTTATGAAATTTATACAAGAAAGTCAATTTTATTGTGTTTGTTTTCTGTTACTATTGAAAGCAATACCAGTAAAGATTGGCTTCAACATTTGATATATGTTGCACCCAATGCATTGACAACCAGTATGCATATATTAACAAAAAAATCTCAACATCCAGTTTGCTGATGATTGGCATGCATTTTCTTTTATAAAGATTGTATTGCCAAATGAGAACCCACAAAACCTTTTGGTCTAAGCAATGTTTCCCAGAACTCGAAAGTAATAGATCTTTCTTGAATTCCAAAATGTCGTTACGTTTACAAACTTTTGGTCTAAAATGTGTTTCACAGGCCTTGAAAGGTGATCTTCACTCGCATTCTTCCTAAAAACCCAACTTATACAGGTACTCTTTTCCCCCGATAACGATCGAACAACTGCAAAGAAACACATTGAAATGTAAGAGATAACACGCCATGACAAATGTTCCTAGAAATTAAAAAATCTATGAGTAACATTTGATTCAAAAATATAAACTACACATCTATGAGTAACACAACACAGTGGACTCCCCAGGCAAGCTTTTGATGCAAATCAATACTTTGAACTAATTATAAGTTCCTGACTTTTTTAAGATACTCTGCTAAAATTTACAGCAATTCTGGAGTAAAAAATTTAATATAATAAAGTACTTGGCCACAGCACTGCCAGCACCTCGTACATGTGAAAAGCAAACAGTGCTAATACAATGTGTTTCTTCTTAGTCATCATTCAGCAGAAGCCATCAGGCCTTGGAAGCGCCTTTACCTTCTAGTCGTTCTTATATTTATTCATTTTTATTCTGGACTGATTATTGTGGTACTCAATTGAACAACAGCTAGTTGGCTCAAGAAAGACATCCAACATACAAACACACAAATGTCGCGAGATTCTAGTTTATTTCAAATTCATGAAACTGAAAGAAAAGTGTAACTGCTTGGCACTACAGCCATGTCCACCACTATAAGTCTATAACTATATGCAAATTGTTTAAAAAAATTGCAAAAAGAGCCTACTTACACCAGATTAATGCATGAAATTACAGCCAACAGTAACTTCTATAACAAAATCAGTAAAAACAGCCGATTGACATTGGATATGATGCATGGATTACATCCAGCAATAACTTCTGAAATTATTACTCAGACAAGTCAAATAGATTTGGCTATGAATTATGAAATGACAACTAGCATTAAATTCTGGGATGAATTTTTCTTGAACAAATTAAAAGCTTCCACGTGGCAATTCAAGGTTCTATCTATATAATAATTCCAGTCAAAACTTCCAGTGGTGGCAATTCAAGGTTCTATATAGATTAACAATCTCAGTTGAAACTTCTGGAATTGTTAATTTATGATGTTAATAATCAATCCATTAATCAATTAAATTAAATATTAAACTCAAAACCCATGCCAATGAAATCAAGTAGAGGCACACATAGAAATCTCACATAGATAACAGAATATATTATAATGCGGTAAATACCATTGCTCCGTACATTGCAAATGACAAATGAGACATCAATGCAAACATACCGATCGGACAAAAGGTTGCTGGAAGAGCCAACCAATAATAGGAATCTTCTGGAGGAAGACAGCCAGTGTCGGCCAGAAACCACTGTAATTTTAAATGAAATATTAAATTTCTCTCCCAAAATATAAAGATGTAGAGTAAAATAAAGTCGAGCCAATAAAGATGGCACACACCTGAACAACACTACGAATCCGTAAGCCTCAATAATCATTCCTATTATGGGCCACCCGATGATGACTAAGAAAAAGCCAACACCAAATGATAAAGTCCCCTGCATTGATATATGAAAAACATTAAAAAAAACTGCATCGCGACAAAAAACATCGAAAATAGAGCAAATCAAGAGGAATATCATAATTGCGAGAAACCTTAAAATTCGAGCGTTTCATAAAGAACTGCATGGATGACTTAAGGCCAATGGTTAATATCACCCCTGCCAAGAAGAGTATCTGTTTTGAATAAAATGAGACAATATTAGGAAGATGAGGGATGTGAAGTATTCAATATGAAACATTTGATTGTCTGCTTCAATAATATACATACGTTTCCCATTGCCAGCAGTCCCTTATCGAAGAAAAAGATGACCCCCAAAATTGAAAAGAAAACTCCAAACCCCGTCAAACCAAGTCCAATTTCTGTTACAACAACGAGAAAGAAATAATTTGATCAAGAATGATAAAACCCTTTATATGTAAGAAAAACTATTTCAAGTAAAAATTACGATGGAGACTGAGACAAAATGTAAATTCCACCATAAATAAGCTGTCAAAATGTCCATAGATAACTCAGATTTTATCATTAAGAATAACCTGAGAAATATAATCACACCTATGAGCTTGTGCAGCAACAGCAGAAAATTAAATATTACAGAGACTCCACTTCAAATGTTTTCATGCACAATTTGTCAAAAAGCAAGAAAAGAATTTATATAAATTCAGCTGAATAAATTTGGGTATCATAATTGGGGATAGCTTACTTTTTCGATCGTTCATCTCGAAGGACGCCATTTTTGCCGATTTCAGGTTCAACAAACTTCTACGTTTTCTCAGGTAGGCTCAAACTGCAGCCCTACACCCAGCAAATAATCACGCAAGTCAGAGATACGCACAAAAACATAAGATCGAGAGAGATAAAGGTAGAACCACTCATTTTCGCCAAAATAATCATAGTAATTATAATTTATTGCAGAGAAAATCAACCACAATAGATCTACCCGCTGACTTGCTTTACATTTCCTCGATTTCATGCATCACATACACGAGTGCTGTTTCACCTAGTCAGAGAGAGACAGAGAGAGAGACCAAATAGAAAAACATAACTGTGATTGGAAGTGATGAGCAAAGATTGATGGCAGGCTGAGGATTCTGAAGAGTTTCAACGACTGGAGGGACGAAATTGCACAACTGAAAAAGAAACTCCTCTTCAGAAAGAGAATTTTTTCTGCCAAAAGACAAAACTGGTTCCTAATACAATAAGATTCAACCAAAGTAACCAAATGTATTGAATTCCAATAACACCACAATAGAAGTTAATCAATAACCGCTATCTATCTCTCTCTCCTATCTCCCTTCTCTCGCTTCTTTCTCTTCACATTTTTTCTCCATCTTCTTTCCTCTTATTCTTCTTCCTCTTCTTATTTGAATGAATGTCTAAGAAAGCACAAAAAAATAAAATTAAAAATTTTGAAAATATTTTATATAAAAAACAAACAAAATGTTGAATATGTAACAACAAAACATTATAACAACTATTAAACACATAAAAACATAAAAACAACTGTTAAACAACTTCCATAAGATTTAGTGTTTATATAATCACCAATTACCATTATTACTACTCAACGGGTAACGACCTAGAACACGAGTAAGGTTCCAAAAGCAATTAGAATCGATAAAAAATTTAAGATAAGGTTCCAAAAGCAATTAGAATCGATAAAAAATTTAAGAACTTTGTCTGTACCAAAAAAAAAAAAAATCAGATCTCCACATACAAATAATTGTCAGATTTAACATATAGAAGCCCAAGCAATCAACACAGATCTAGAAATGAGAACATTGCGACCAGAAATCATTCAAATCCAAAACGAACAATCGCATCCGTGATTGCATCTGAAGCAGAAAAGACAACTAATCTAAACAAACTTTTAGGAAAAAAAATATCATAAATATGAAAATCGAAAGACATCAACATACCAGAATATCGGTTGGGTTGCCCACGCGCCGCCGTTTCAGAATATTGGCCCCCGTTCAGACTGGCCGCACCGCTGCAAGTAAAGCCTACGCCGGTGACCCAGGTTCCACTGGCCTAACCGTCGTAACTCGTAAATCAAACCAGGAGCCCGTTGGTGTGTATGTGAGAAAAGGATTTGGGGATAAATTTGTAGTATGTGTGTGCAATCTTTATCCCAGTTCGCGAATCAGAGAGTGTAAATTCAAAGAGAAATTGATGGAAGGGGATTTTGATTTTTTGGATGAATTATTGTGTGTGTTGTGTTGTGTGCGTGTTTGTGACTTGCGGATGTGAATTTTTTGGGTGAATTCCTTTGTGTGTTGTGTGTGTTTGNAAAACAGCCAACAGCTGAATACAAACAACCAATAACTAAAAAGTGGGAGGACAGGACAACAACCCGCCTAGAACCGACCCCAACGGGGTAAAACTCAAGAGCACTAAAAAACACAATAAAAAACAACAACACAAACACAAAGGCCCCAACAGGGTAATACCGAGTGTCAGGCCCCAACAGGGTAATAAAGGTGACACTCGGACGCACAGAGGCCAACGGCCCAGACCTAAAACACAAAAACAACACGGACACAGATATAACAACACAATACAGACAAAAACACAAACTAAAAAAACAACAAAACATCTAAAGACGACACATAGTGCCCTTCCCCAGCAAATAAAGCAGATTGAACCAGTAGAGAACCAATCAATCCAAGAAAGGTCCGAAGCCCGAGACCAACTTCCGAAACTGCTGCCGAACGCCTATACAAAAGCCAAACCCGGACCACGAGACTAACCCGAATCAACCCACCTTCGACCGAGAGGACAACCAGGTCCTTGCGACAGCCCCGCACTAGCTCGCCTAACACCACTAGCCGAGCTAATAGGCGCCGGGCCCACCAATTTCCCAACACCAGAGAACCAGATGGAAAGAGAGCTACCCGTACCTGCTACTCCCGCAACCGGACGGAATACATCACGGCCGCTGGAGCCTCGAACCGCCCGCCGACCAACACGCCTCTCAACCCCACCGCAGGCCGCTGCCATCGCGAGCTCGAGCCCCAAAATCCAAACCCAGAAGCCCACCTGAACCGATGAACCTCCAAGCATCGACCCGCTGCAATTGAGTGGCTAACCATCCAATCAAAGATCGCCGACTTCCAGGGAAACCACCCGCCTCAGATCGAACACCACCGCAGTCACAGCTTGCTGGCGACCTTGGGCAGAGCACACATCAGAGCGACCCTTTGCAGCAAAATCCAAAGAGGCGCGACCGAGCGGTCGAGGGTGACCACTGGCCTGAGCCGCCCCTTCGCCGGAGAAGGCTAATCGCAGCGAAATTGGATGTCGGGAGCTAGGGTTTTCGTCGGGAATACAGAGAGAGAAAAAATCGAGGATGACTTTACTTGTGTGCGTGTGTTTAAAAAATAAAAAATTACTTTTAAAAAGGAGTTAATTAAGTTGGAATTAAATTGATAAACGTGGAATAAAGAAACCTTCGTTACAAATAAGTCATATAATTAGTAACTAGTGTGGTAGCATGCACGGGCTAATATTATTAAGGGAAGTTAGATTTGTAAGATTGGATGATTGATCAGATTGTTATTTATATATTAATAAATACCTCCAGTACACACATTCTTTATTTGATTTTGGTACATCACAACTTAAAATTTTCAAACTTTTATGATTCGTAACGCGTAAAATATCTACATACATCTGACCGCGACAAAACATCGCTTTCTCAAAGAACAGGCCATAATGCTATAAATATTGACTTTGACTCTTGTTTATTGTTATGGAGCAAGAAACCATCGGTGGAAAATACATTAACCTTAGAAAACCTTAAATATTCAACATTTTCTCATTCATGTAAAATTATTTGGAAAAAATATTAGAAATTGTATGTTACAGTACAAACTTTTATCGAAAAGGCTTGTTATTCAAAACATACATATGACAATCTCTAACTTTTACATTGCAGTAAGTTATATTTTTATTTTTTTTACCGTCTGTGTATTTCAGCTCTCAATTTATTGTGAACTCTACACCTACTGTGAGGGAAAAAACTATTTTAATTATTTTGTGAATTAAGAACATGTATGATAGGTTAATGCAAAGCATTCTACTACCATAACTCCGACGATTAAATTACATTATGTTCTTGCACATAATGCGAAACATGTTCTTACATTATTTTATGCACTTTAAATTCTTATGTTCGTCGTTGATTTCTTTCCAACTGCTGCATATTCCATTAATCTCTTGTTGCTGCATATAAAAATGAATGTTTTTTTTTTTTTTAATCAAAAGTATGATGCTATATTGGTTTAAAAGCAAGTAAATGATTAATATTCTTTAAGCATACCTTCATCAATATTTACTTTTGACTGTGGCTTCATAGTTTTTTTATTTTAAAAATTGATCAGTGCATTTCATACAAAACAATTAATTAAAACGTCATAACAAAAAATGAATTAAATCAAGACCCACTGATTAGACCAGAACATTTTCTATAAATAAAAATCGAGACACGCGCATTATATCAAAATATTTGTTCATATTATTTTGTGGGAGTTACGGTAAAATCACTATGGTAATTTCATCCAAAAAAATAAAATAAAAAATGAGACCCACACCAAAAAACAATATATTTGTGTGCGCATTTCAGAGAAAAGTATGGTGTATATTGATTAATTTTATAGCAAATTTTCTACAAAAAAAGACAGTCATCAAATAACCTAAATAAATATTCTCACTTTATACTATATACTGACTAATTCATTTTTCATAGTAACATCCATTAAATACCAAAAAATAATTTTGTCACTTTATATCATATATTGATTGATTTATTTCCCATAGAAAAGACCATCAAATATCACAAATAAATGTACCCATTTTATATCATATATTGATTAATTTATTTTCAGATATAGTAAATAAGATTTTTTTTCGGGAAGAAGTTGCTATTTTAAAAATAATCAAATCTTTTTATATATTAGATTTATTATAATTTTAAACCATTGGATTGTAGATTTTATCTTTCAAGTTCTTGATTATTTTTTAGTCTAAAACAAATATAAACTACAGTTAAATTAATAACTTTAGATATATTGAATCGTTTAATAATTAATAAATAAAATAAATAAAACAATCAATATTAACTAATATAAATTTATTTGTCTATATTAAAGAACGTGAATTGAAGCATGTTGGGACATATTATTCCCAAATTCATTATTTTCTATCACCATTCCCAAATATCATGATTGCTTGTAAGTACCTTATTTTTTTATAAAGTACATGAATGTTTTACTGAAAAAACAAAATAAAGAAAAAGGGAACAGAAGGAACACAATAATATTAATTAATGTCCTAACTAACAAATGGTTGATTAAATCTAATTTTCCACAACCAAAAAGGCATGCTTATCAAAAAGCTTCTTCACAGTCACAGATCTCTCGCAAGTCACAACTAAAATAAGCCGCAAATATTAATTTTGAAATGAACTAATCCCACAAATTAAGGAAAACATAAATACTTTTCAATTTTCTTGAATAAAAAAAAAAAAAATCAAAAACTTACCCAAGTTGGTAAGTATTTAATGTTGACTTAGTTTGACCTACATAGCTAATATAATTAAATTAAGCATGATTCTTTATTTATTTTTTCCTTTATTTATTTAGACAAATGTTGTTATATACTATAAAATTAATGATAAAAATATATATAATTATATATTATATATAAAAAATAAATAAAAATTATATATTAATTAAATCGGTTCGACCACTGGTCCGACCAATGAACCATTGAACAGCCAATGACCGAATTAGCTGAATAGTTGACTCCAGTAGAGAGGATCACACTTGCAACGGACACCCCGCCGGTGCCTAGAGTCAACCTACCCATAAGCACAAGAACTTCCAAAGGGAGAAAAGAACACACAACCTACAACGCAAAACACACACAAAAGCTCCCACTAGGAGAATAAACCAAAAGCTCCCAACAGGAGAATACACCAAACACTCCCAAAGGGAGAGAAAAAAAGGAAAACATGGGCAGAACAAACCAAAACACCAAAACACACAACACTTGTAAAGAAAATAAGACAACTACAAGAAAATCCCCTCTGTCCGAATGCACGCCGCACCCGCACCAGTCGAGCCAAGAGCCAAGCGACCACCCGCCACTGAACGGGATACGACAAGATCAACAACCTACCCGAGTGGCCACCACCGGGTCAACCCCAAGGAGACTCGCGATGAACTCCACCCCCAACCCACCCCGAAAGCAACGAACCCACACGAGCCGCGTCAAGAGCCGCCACCAGAGGACCCCTCCAAGCCCAACACCAGGACAAGAAGAGGAACGAAGATCAGAATTAAAAGGTTGTCTCGACCCCAACCACCGGTGCACGGTGGCCAGAGCCAGCCATGCCACAATCTCCCGTAAGCCAAAAACCCCGACCATCCCCACAGTCAACCGGAAAAGGCGAGACACCGCAGCGGGAGGGGCAGATGGCCTGCAAGGAGACGTGCCAATAGCCCAAGAGCTGATTCGGAGTAGTGGGGACGGTGTGCTGGAGGAAGGGAGGCTCCGATGAACTAAACTCGGCAAGGTTTTTGAATTAGGGCTAAGAAAATTTATAGAGAGAGAATTCTTCCACTAAGATTAGCCCATTTTTGTTATGGGCCTAAGATTTGTTGCAGGCCCAAGATAAATCCACTAGCCAAATGTGTCTATATATAAGATACGAGTCAAGAAACTACTAGATTTCTCTTCTACCCTTATCATGGCGCCTCACCTCTTTTTCTTTCTTCTCTATGTTCTTTCTTTCTCGGCCAGATCTGAAATTTCTTCTCTCTAAATCAGCAAAAGGCTCATATAATTCAAAAGATCTTCTATGAAGACTTATGATAACTTTAAAATTTCTAATTCGAATCGTAGATGAAAATACGATATCCATCATATTTTTCATATACGATGTGAATTTCAGCACATCTACTAATTCCGCAGACTTACTTATATATATCTTTCGATTTTCAGAGTAAGAAAGGTAATACTTAAATCACAGTTAAGTTTTGTTTTTAATTGAAATTCGATCTGGCGTTTTTCCATCAATATTTTTTTTTTATTGAATATTTTTTTTTTGGTTTATATCAAATCAAACCCTACCTTCTATCTAACATGGCCATCTGTTACCGTACTCTCCATCATCCACTGTTTGGAAGGCAAGACAATCTTTCCCCAGGAAAATCCTCTCTCTACATACCACTGAAGGTATGGAACTCTATGACGAGATTTTTTTTTCCTGTCCACCAGAACATCGATTGTCTCATATTGAATGGGAAAATGGGAAACTGATCTTGCCGCCATTGTTGATCGAAAACTGATCTTGCCGCCATTGTGTGTTGATTGTTGTTAGATCTCCATGACGAGATTTTTTCAAGTAAACACATTGACATTGTGTATGTCGTTGTTGATTTTCGGTGATGATTTGATAGTGAATTATTTAGTCACAACACAATTTCTGTTCCTGTTCTTGCATTTGATGTAATTTGTTATAATTTGTGAAGTAATGACTATTCATCATTTCTCATTCATATCACATCCAATACCTCCTCCAATCCACTGAAAGAAGTAATTGGATCCTTAAAATGGTTTAGAGGTGAATAAAGAACCCTATAAACTTAATTCACTACTTACCACTCCGTGGGTAACATCTCCTGTCTGGTTTCCGTACTTGTCGAGAAGTGCAATTGGATTGTCATCAGTTCTGCTTCTATGAATGCATTTACATATGAATTGTCTCAAATCTCAATAGTGTTATAATGTATAAATAACTGCAAGTAAATAGTGGATTCCTAATCTTTGTTGATTTTGAATAAAAAATCTAAACAGTATTTCCATTTTCTTACCAAATTATATAAGTTTGATACAATATATAGCAAGAACTGTAGCTCCTTTGAGTGGACATGCCTGAACATGCCTGATTCTGCCCGTAAATTTAGGTTCTTCATTTCATTTTAAGTGTACTATGTTACTGCACAGACTGAAATAACTTAAATATGAATAGCTAGATGCATACAGATCCATTCATACAGAAATCCATTAATATTTTTTTATTTTTTTATTTATTTATTTTTTTTTTTTTCTAGAAATCACTGGAACTAGCTAGACATTGCGTGGTCCTTCAAAGGGATCCTGGGAGATTGGTGGTGCCTTACAGAAATTGGCAGTGTGTGACATCCAAATCGGGTCCAAACAGCAACCCAGTGTGTGACATCCAAATCGGGTCCAAACAGCAACCCTACTAGACAACGATAAGAAATACTACTACTATGCAAGATATAGAAATAAACCCTAATCAGCAGAAACCCTAAAAAAACTCACGATAGGGATACACATATAAACAAAGCATTAGGACGACATAGAGCACAGAAAAGCATTAGGACGACATAGAGCACAAAAGATCAGATTTAATAAGCAAACATTTGAACCCTAATTCCCACACCAGAGAACAAGATCCCATCTTGGGAAAAAACAGAAAATCTCACATAATCTCACATATTAACAAAATACGTACCTGCCAGAACACTCGCATATTCCTTTCCAAATAACTTTGAATCATTTTCGAATATCTGAAAATGAAAAATGAAGACCCAACATGTTAATTTAATCAAGTCCTAACAAGAGTATATAAAATTATTGATGATTTGACAAGGAAATGTGCATACCAGTGAACCACTCGTTCTAAGCTCAGTCTCGGTCACCTCGGGTCCTGGTAATTGAAGATTACCCTGGAGAAAAGAAGAATTAAATCACTTTAAATTTACAAATAATAGAAAAACTCTGATTGGCTACAATATACTTTGATCTAATATAGTTACTTGTTCGTCGCAAGTAGGATAAAAGAGCAAATCTTGTTTCTTACATCCATTATATGAATTGCGAGTGTTAATCATGCATGTGAGATCTTCCTTGAAAAATGATTTACACCAGCCGAATCTTGTTTTTGGACCCGATTTGGATGTCACACTGCCAATTTCTGTAAGGCTTCACTGGCCAACCGATGGGCTTCACTCGCGGTTATTAGCCCATCAGTTGGCCAGTGAAGCCTTACAGAAATTGGCAGTGTGTGACATCCAAATCGGGTCTAAAAACAAGATTCGACTTGATGCAGCTCGATCAAAGATTGGTGGCCCCTTAATGATAGTGGGGTGTAAATCATTTTTCAAGGAAGATCTCACCTGCATGATTAACACTCGCAATTCATATAATGGATGTAAGAAACAAGATTTGCTCTTTTATCCTACTTGCGACGAACAGGTAATTATATTAGATCAAAGCATATTGTAGCCAATCAGAGTTTTTTTATTATTTGTAAATTTAAAGTGATTTAATTCTTCTTTTCTCCAGGGTAATCTTCAATTACCAGGACCCGAGGTGACCGAGACTGAGCTTAGAACGAGTGGTTCACTGTCATCAATAATTTTATATACTCTTGTTAGGACTTGATTAAATTAACATGTTGTGTCTTCATTTTTCATTTTCAGATATTCGAAAATGATTCAAAGTTATTTGGAAAGGAATATGCGAGTGTTCTGGCAGGTACGTATTTTGTTAATATGTGAGATTTTCTGTTTTTTCCCAAGATGGGATCTTGTTCTCTGGTGTGGGAATTAGGGTTCAAATGTTTGCTTATTAAATCTGATCTTCTGTGCTCTATGTCGTCCTAATGCTTTTCTGTGCTCTATGTCGTCCTAATGCTTTGTTTATATGTGTATCCCTATAGTGAGTTTTAGGGTTTCTGCTGATTAGGGTTTATTTCTATATCTTGCATAGTAGTAGTATTTCTTATCGTTGTCTAGTAGGGTTGCTGTTTGTGCCTTGCCTTTTTGTTGCTTCTTTCTCTGTATATTTTGTTATTTTTCTGTATTTTGTTGGTTCTGTTTCTTTCACTTTCTTTTTGTCCTTTCACTGATACGATGTATATTGTTTGAATGGTGGTGAATGTGTTTTTAGATATCAATGCAGTAGAAGCTGAAATCGCAGCTTCAAAGTCAAGGGATAAGGATGTTGTTGAGTAAATGGTTCAGGATAGTTGGGAAAAAATGTGTGGATAGTTGAAAAGAAAAATATAGTTGAAAAAACTTGTGGATAATTGAATAGCTGCTAACAAAGCTAATCTGGTCATACTTGTTACTTTCAAATACCAATTTGTGGTTTAGGGCCGGGGTTGTTATTTTTCCTTTNTCTCGTCTCGATTATGGACTGAATTATCCGGGTGCAAACTTTTTGCATTAGGGTTTTGGGCGAGTTCGTCAGATCTGTTTTTTACTGAGCTGTTCGATTTTTGACTTGTTGTGTTTGTTTGAAGGAATCTTAATTAGCTTCGATCTTCAAATATGTTCTAATGATTTCGATTTGTTGTGTTTGTTTTCATGAATTTGTAGCAAATGGCACCTTGGGTTTTCAGTGAGTTTGATGGAAATTGTGTGTTATTCTAATGTTGAAATTGGTTTTAGGAACATTTATCTTTCAATTTCTTTATCGTGGTTGTGAGGATGGCATTAAAATTGTAACGTAGATTTTCTATATGCTTGTGTTGAATCATTTCGAAATTATCCGTCACCTGAAATAAGTGAAGAACATCTTATTTCGCTGTTGATTAAGAGTTCAAAAGTCTGAGGATAGGGATTTTGTGCAAAGGAAAAGGTCTGGTTGAAAGATTCGGATTGTTGGTTTCTTTAGAAGTCCCTTAATTTATCAACGTGGAAGCTTTTGTCAGCAAGGGCCAGTAACAAGTCCCGTCTTATTTCCTATTTTACTGAAGCGACATCCTTAATTTAACAGTGAATGAAAATTGTTTAGATTGAGATTCTGTTTGGTTGTGTTAATTTTACCGTGTGCTTAGTGTGTCGGTGTATTGTGAAACCAGCATGGAATGAATCAGTTGCTTTTGCACATTTGAATAATGTCAATTTTTCGTGGTCTATTATAAATCGCTAGACTCCTGCCGTAGCATGAAAGTTGGTGGATCTGGAAATGTATGGAAAAAATAACCTGAACATTTCATATATGTCCATTGCAAATGGAGCTCGAAGAGTCATTGTTGACAATTCTCTTGATATAGTGCTAATAATAGACTAGATCAAAATGACTCAATTAAATTCTAGTGTTTTTTCAACTAATAAAGTTTCTAGAAAAAAAAATATATATCAAACGGCGCAATGCACCTTGGGTCGCTACGGAAACAGCCACTTTGTTTATATATTAGAGTTAGAATCCAATGAGAATGGTAGATAGTGAAAGAAATAACAATAAATCTAGACCATGAAATCAATCATATCAATGGTTAAGATGAATTCAAAATATTGTCAATTATTAATGGCAAATAGTAATTTAATATACACATTGTGGTCAAATATATACATTTGACTACTAAATAAGGGTAAATGAGACATTAAATACACCAATGGGTTCCACCATATTCACCCACCACAATTAGCCTCTTTCTCTCACATTAACATACGCACGCAGAGAACACACAGACAAACAATCGGCACCACCACTCTCAGCGCCGTCTTCCACCCATCGCCGGCAACCGGCCGTCCGACCCGTCGCCGCCGTCCCCATCCAACGTCACGTCCAACCATGCCTCCACGTCTCGTCATCCTTGCAAAGGCGACTGAAATCGCCGGAGAACGAGCACCGAAGGCCCTTCGACGCACGACCATCTCTGCCGCAGCGTCCGCCGGCGTCGTGTCTCTCATCTCCCGGTGGTGGCGGCAGTAGTGTTCTCCGACGAAAATATGTGCAGATTTCAGAAAAATCCAAGGAGGCTCGAGCTCGTCGCGGGCACCGACGAAAGGACTGGCCGGGAGACTGAGCTTTTGCGTTCGGCGGTGGCGGTGGCGGCACTGCCGGAAGTGACGGCCGGAATAGTTGCAGGATTAATTTGATTTGTGATGAATGTTTGACCTAATTGACATTGATTTGGGGTTCTCTTTTTGGAAAATTAGACAAAATTAGTGGGCCTATTTGCAATTTTTTTGAAACTTAATATGTTGTACATGGAATGATAAATTTGAGCGATCTTTGCCCAATAATGATAAATAAGATAAGATGCACAATATTTAGTGAGTATATGCACATTAATAAATTAAGGGTGGGTTTGGTTGCTTTGATTGGGCCTGATATCACGTGAGTTGGTATTATTTCCACACGAATAACTAGTTTGGTTCATTTAAGGTTGGCCCTTGAGATGTGCACAGCCCAGTCCAATTATACCCAAGAAATGGGAAACCACATCCGGCGATGGGCAAGGGATGTCATATCCCACTTAAAATGCTTTTCTAAAATTTGACCAAAACACCCTTAATAAAAGTAGAGGTCATGAGATTTGCCTTCATTTGTTCGAGGATGTCCGTAAGCTAGAGTTTGCCCTGCTCCATGTGCGACATTGAAGAGCATTAATTCTATCCTCTTCTTGTAGGAAGTTGTCCATCCACAAGTTGTTATACCCACCATGTAATTTATTTTTTCTTTGTTCTAACAATGTTTACCCTCTTTTGTTTTAGGTTTTTTTTTTTGAATTATCGCTGCTGGATCTGCTCGTCTTTGACTGGATTCAGACGTCTCTCCTCGTCGTCGCACTAGGTAATTAATCTCTCCATAGCAGCGAAGGTTAGAAAACACTTATGTGTTTAATTATTATGTGTTTGTAGATACTACCTACATATCTTTATGTTCTTCTTTCGGGTAGATATTGGTTCAGAAAACACAGATTAACACTCTTTAATTTTATAGAGTACTTGGATTTTAAAATAAATTTGTCTACCCCGGTACTATGTTTGGTATTCAGTTTGAGCTACATAATATTTGGGCAATGACATGTTCGATCCGTGGATAAGTCAATGAATCATCAAAATTTTCAAATTACGAACTTGTTCTTATCATTGTTCTGTCTTTTGTGTTTTTATTTTTATTGTTATTTTTTAACCAAAGGTTGGGGTTGAGGTGGTGTACGCAATGTCCGAGATCTGTAGTAGAAAAGCTGAAGTTCTACTTCTACTAGAAGAAATCATAAAAGAATGTACCTTCTTTATGAGTATGGTTGTTGCAGCAGGAAGGAGAAGACAACGTAATAGGGCTAAAATTTTAACTAAACGTATCAAATATGTGATGGCTACTAGAATTCTTATGCAAATAGAACATTTAAACAATTTGGTCGCGCTAAATGAATTAGATTGTATGGAGAATCTAAAGATGACTAAGGGAGCGTTTGCAAGGCTTTGCTACATTCTTCGCGATGCTGGGGGATTATCTGATTCCAAATATGTTACCCTTACGGAGAAAGTGACACTCTTTTTATCCATCATAGCTCACCATAAGAAGATGGAAGTTGTAAAATTTGATTTTAAAAGGTCTAGTCATGCTGTCAGCATATATGTGCATGAGGTTTTATGTGCGACTTTGCGGCTACACTCTATGCTTCTAGTTAAACCAGGACCCGTAGATGAGTCATGCCTTAATAACAACAGATGAAGGTGGTTCAAGGTAATTTTGTAATATCTTATTTTAAGATTCTTTATAAAAAAATATTTGTTCAGTTTTAATAAACGTAGGGAAATCTTATGATGATTCACATTTTATAGGGGTGTCTAGGTGCTTTAGATGGCACTTACATTAGAGTGACAGTGACGGAAACTGATAAGCCACGCTACAGAACAAGAAAGGGTGAAGTTGCAGTAAATGTTCTAGGCGTAGTGGACCGTAATCTAAATTTTGTCTACGTTCTATGTGGGTGGGAAGGCTCTGCCGCTGATTGTCGTGTGCTAAAAGATGTTGTAAGTCAATCCAATGGGTTAAAAATACCACGAGGTAATATAATGTTGCTAAAATGTTATTAAGATAATGGTCATTCACTACCAATAATGATAAAACAACTATGTTCTGTGTAGGTAACTACTACCTTTGTGATAATGGTTATACAAACGGTGACGGTTTTTTGACCCCATACAAGAGTGTTAAGCATCGTTTGAAAGATTGGGTGGAAGGGAGACTAACACCACAAAATTCTTTTGAATTTTTCAACATGTGTCATTCGAAAGCAAGGAATGTTGTTGAAAGATCCTTTGGAATTTTAAAGAAAAGATGGGCGATTCTTCGTAGTCCTACATTTTATGATATTAAAACTCAAAATAGATTGATCAGGGCATGCGTCCTTCTTTATAATTTTATTCGTCGTGAGCTACCGGTGGGATCCAATGGAAAGCATGGTTGTTGAACATGAAGAAAACGGTGAAGGTACAGATGAAGACCCGTCTTTCATTGATGCAGTTGAGACATCCGATCAGTGGTCGAATTGGAGAGACAATTTAGATAATTCGATGTTCAACGATTGGAGATGTATCGTTTGTGTTTGAGCTATTCTTAGGAGGATCAGTTTCATAAATTTGTTGGAATAATTGATAATAGAAGATGGTACAATTATGTATGATACTTGAATGGGTTATTAATATCCATTGAAACTTCTTATTGTGGTTAAAGTGTTGAAATGTTATTCATAATGTTGATGTGTATGTTGTGAACAAATGCTCATGTTGAAATTTCATAACTCGCACTCATTTTGGATGTTTTTTATTTATATATTTGGGTTCTTTCTTAGCAAAGATGAATACATCTGGAAATATCAGTCCAAAATTGAGACTTTCAAAGCCAGACAAGGGTAGGCGTAGTTGGAGTCGCCGAGAAGAAGAGATTCTTATTGCAGCTTTGAAATGTATTTTCACAAGTGGATGGAAATCCGAAACGGTTTTAAGATGGGATTTTTGAATGTTCTTGAACAAGAGTTGGTTAAAGCACTACCAGCTACTGATTTCCGTGGTATGCCACACATAAACTCCAAAATTCTTGTTTAGAAAAAAGAGTACGGTAGTTTATGTACTATGCTGTCTAGAAGTGGAATTGGATGGAACGAAACCGAAATGATGATTGAAACAACTGATGAAGCTTGGGCGGAATATGTAAAGTTTAGATTTGTAAGATAATCTTATCTACTATTTAGTTGTAGTCCCATTTTAAAATGGCTCTGTGTGATTAAGTTCTACTAACTATTTTTCTTTTATTTTATGATTTGATGCTTTGTAGATTGATGTAAATGCACGTCTGATGCGTCACAAAAGTTGGCCATTTTATTGTGATTGGATTGAGATATTCGGGAAGGACCGAGTGACAGTACAACAGGCTGAGGACATCTTTGATGCAGTTAGCAATGTTAACTTGTCAAGATTCGCTCGTCTAGTTAGTCAGCCTGAAGTGACATAAACTACGAGACTCCTGAAGACTTCAACGACACAATGTCTGAGAGTAACCCCCAGTCATCTGCCGGGACCAAAAAAAGTAGTGGTCGTAAGCGCAAGTCATCTAAATCTGGTGATCAGTTGTATGAAACTATGAAATCATTCTCTGAAAACACAAGTGCAAGGTTGATGGACATTGCAAATCGGTTTGGGTACGATTACGATGTCTCACGTGCTCGTAAGGATGTGTTCTCTGTTGTTTGCGGGATTGAAGGTCTGAACCTTCAGGAGAAGCTACTCGTTTCCAAAATACTGGTGAAAAACACAGATGAATTGGATTTGTTTTTAAGTCTCGGAGTCGAGGCACGCGCTGAATTTGTTCATATGAGGTTAACTGGAAACATTTAAGTGTTAAAGCTATGTTATGTTGGATTTGAAGTGTGCTGTTGTACTAGTGACTTCAGTTTAACACTGATAACATGATCCCTTTTATTTGGTTTTTGTATTTGAATTAATATCGTAGTGATGGAGTGACTTTTGGGAAGTTGAATTTAAGTTTAGACATTCATATGTGGTGTTTGAATTGATATGTGATTTGCTATTTGGATGGTCTTTTGTGGAATCCTGCAATGGTATNTTTGTGATTTGCTATTTCCTGTACATTATGTCATATCTTCTAGCATGCAGTTGCTTTTTCCTCACATGCGTATGACATTATTCATCCACTGTCAGACTACATATTGGTAGTCCTATAGAATAGAGAATCGTTTGCATAAGAAACTTTTTTGTACCATGCATTTGCTTTGTGAGGGCAACAATTGTTTCATTGCTTGAGCTAAGATTCTCTATCATTTTACATGGAATATATTCCATGTTTCTTAGAATGGCAATTGCTTAACGGTTATATACCCTTCCTTATTTAACAACAACAGGTGCAGTATGAAGTGTCGAGTTTATTCTGGACAATGTAGTGCAACTTACAGTCCATTTGAATGTACCATGCCAAAATCTTGAAATTAAAAGTTTTTGGAAAAATATAAATAAGTAGACTACACAAATAACCATAAGAAATAGCTAAGGAAGCATGACGACAATCTATTAAAACACAACAAACACGTTACAACAAAAGTGGAACCTAAAGTAATCCGAAACAAATGGCCGGCCAGTGATAAACCAATAAAAGACCTATGAAACACCGTCGAGACATTACAATAGACTTAACTCCACCATCGTTTGACTAAACTCCACCCTCATTTGACTACAGTCAATCAAGGAATTTAAGGAGGTAATTAGTCGTACCACGTCCTTCAAACTTGCAGCCTTACTCGTGTACACCCGAACAGAGAACCAAAGAACACGACAACATTACTGAATGCAATAAACTAAGGACTACTCACCTATATCGCTCTCCACCTTGGGGATAATACCATCTCCACTATTTCTTAAATGGAGAAGATGATGCAGTGGAGCTGTTCGGGATATCGTCGACGTCATTGCCTTTGTTGCTCCAATCATAATGAGCCCAGTGTTGGTTACACTTGGATAAGACATCCTTGGTAGTTGATAGTTTACTAGGAGGGTGCTCGGGGTCAGGTATGGTGGATCCACTAGCATTGTCGGAGTTGTACCATGCCAATTCGTTCCAAAACGAATTGTTTGTGTTGTCAGACTCGTTTTCAAGAGGCAAGTAGGTATCTTGAGAGTTATTATGGTCACTGTCATCTTCATTATCTCCATCAATACTATTTGAGGCAATGTCTATTATTTTATGGTCATCATTTTCACTCTCGTCTTTTGGACCTTCGTTGATTAGGAACTTTAGATCAGGGAAGAGTGGTTCACCTCCTTTCATATAAGCATGTCGAGCTTTTCTTCCTGTAGGAAAAAAAAAAATTGTAAGGCTCCGATACTTCTTAATTTTAACCTTGGAAAGACAAAATTACTCGAGGAAAAAATTTTCACTTACACGCACAATGAAGTTCCAAGTCGGTTCAGTAGCTTCCTCCTTATGGCCATTGGGATTGTACACCACACCACTTAATGTTTTCATCCACTTGAAGACGTGATATCGCTTACGGAGCTTTCGAAGCCGGTCGAGGATAAATTTGTGGTCAAAGTTCTTACCGAACCGCTCGTTCAGCATGCTCGATGTACACATGAGGGAATGCATGTTGACTCTGCCAACCTCGTAAAAGCCTTTATTTTTTATCTATCAAGAAATCCACACACACTTTCTCAACCTCTTTGGTCCACTCTTTGGTGTAAAACACCTTTTCTTGTGAAATTGCACCCTTAAGCTTCTTGGTTGGAGCCATGCTATAGTTCAAAAGTGACAAGAGTTAGAAATTTTATTTTGATGGTATATTTCGTATGGTGGAGTTTGGATGAAAGAGTTGTGCACTTTTTACAGATACTACCCAACACATCTCAAAGGATCAAGTCTTGGATGTTCTACCATGCATATTTGGAAAAAAAACAAATTGGACTAGGATTGGAATATATTCTTTTTAACTTAAAGAAGATAAAGACAAGTATGTTGTGTCATTATGTCATATTTTTGAATGACATGTCATAGGAGGAATCTGAATATAACTTATGATCCCTTGCACTTAGTTTGATAAATGTCTAACTACTTTTTAGGATGTGAATATAGTTCATATTGGGCTTGATTTTGGTAACATGTAAATCTAGACATATACAAAAGTGTTTTCACCTGTAATTGTACTCACATCCAATTCTCAAACTACATTCATACTAATAACTTTTACAAATTACAGAGAACATACTAATGTAGACATTTCACATTAGTTGGTAATGATATTCAATTGTATTTTGATTACAAAAGTAACATTTCTCGGCTGCCAAATTACACAATACGACAAAACAAAAAGTTCATTGCAATGTTCTAAGACAAGTCCCCAAACCAAGAAATCAAACAACAGTTTTGTCCACGAGACCCACAAAATTAACAAAACTGACAAAATTAACAGATTTTGACAAGGTACAACAATGAGAGAAGAATTATAGCAGCCTATAATTTTTTGATCTTATTCTTGCACACAACCAATGCATTGTTCATGTCATTCACCTTGTTCATTGCCATCAAGAGCTGAGCTTCCATTTCAGCATTCTTCAACTTGTATTGCTCAATTTGATATTGATGTTTATCTGACTTTTCCAGCAAACCGGGTATAATATTCTTACTCTTTCGCAAATTTCTAGATCGTACCATATAAAAAATCCGCAATCTGCAATTTTTTTTACAAATGCTTGTTACATTTACATTAGGTAAATTGAAAACAAAAATGAAAACAAAAACAAACAATTTAATTATCCCATATTTAGGGCATGCCCAATATCTTCTTCCCGGATTATTTTGGGTCCAAGAGGTCTACAAGTACACTTTTTCTTTACAATTGCAGGTCATCTCCATTGGAGCACCATAAATCTCGGAGTTCCGACGAGAGTTCTAGCTTCCTCTTGAACTGCTCATGGTGCAAATACTTCAAATTCCTTTTTTTCCCCTCACTGTCGGCTTTGTGCTGCTGTGACAATGTAATCACAATATCAAGTCATAAAAGTTTTCCCTGACTTTGTCCGTGTCAACAAACTATTCGAATGCGAAAATGCAATAACGAGATAATGAGAAAAAAACAACAATTACTCAGTCAAGGTCTTGCAAAATTCATTTCGAAGTTCGAACTTTTCACTCAAAATTCAGCAAAAGACCAGCGGCTATCAACATTGTGATTCTTCTACCAGAACAATTATTCATAGGACAATGCATGGTCATTCTTCAGGGAATTTTAAGTTTAAACCATCATAAAATTACAAAAATATATTCAGGTAAAAATATCAAATTCTTTAACTCCGCAACCTAACGAATCATCAACTTTGATGAATTGGATATAGTTTTGCAATTTCTAAAAGGTTGAATACTTGATTTGTTATAAATATTACCAAATAGCAACCATTAAATTGACAAAGGATTTTAATTTTTGAAAACCCTAGGTTGCTGGAGATAGCAATGAATCTCACTGTCGCAACTTACCTCTTGGGGATTTTGGTCGGGAAGAAGGTGTTGTCTAATGTAGTGTCAAAACCAGCACACGATTGTCGCCTGGTTGAATTTGATCGACACGGGGTGTTGGTCGGGAATAAGAGGGGTTTTTTGAGAGGGTGTGTGTTCGTACAAATGAAATGAATTGATGAGGGTAATTTAGGCAAAATATTAATTGGTGAAAACAATCTAATTTTTATAGAGGGTGAATGTACCAACCAAATGGGATATTAAATTGTTTGGGCTCATATACATCACGTGAAAAAAGATGCCAAACATGTTTATTGGAGAGATACAATACCGCATATAAAACTGTGAGCCACACTATGACGTATTAAATCAAGCCCAATCCCACTTTTAAACCAAACCCACTTTTAAACCAAACCCACCCTAAGACTATTTAGTCTTGCATTCCCAAAACAACACCAGTTTTATCTCGGGCCGTGTCTAATCTGTCGGGCTGTAATCTTTGCTAACAAACGCAAGATTCTGGATTGATAAGAGGCCTAATCTCATCTAATCTATCCTAACAAACGTGCTCTTAGGGCCTGTTTGATATAGAATATATGATTAGATTGTAATTATTTGGACTTCCTAGATTGTATAGTTAAGATTTGAGAAATATTGTGTTTGATGGCCATGATTGCGGGGAAGAGGAAGATTAGACAAAGTATTTTTTTTTTTTTTTTTTTTTTTNGGGGCATGACATTTTTTAGGATAAAACACTATTTTACTTAATTACCCTTTCATTGTCCAAATATTTCAAACGAGAGCATCCACTTATTTCCCGTCTTTTTCCCCAATTGTAACCTAATTTCAGTCGGCCGCCCCAAAAATGCGCCTCTGCTTCTCGCCCAACAATCTTTGAGTGTTGCCCATGGAATGCAAGCAAGACGAATGAGCCGGCGTAACGTGTAGACGAGACCTTCTCGCATCTGTAATTATTTTTGTACGGATTTCTTCCATAATCACATATGTCATGTTTGTGTCCTGTTCATTCGTTCGTCAACGTCTTGTACACCATTGGGCTGTGTTGCGTGAATAATATGTCATAAGGTCTTTCCTTGGGAAGTAAGTATTTCTATCCGAAAATGTGAATTGTCTTTCTGAAACAGTGTTTTTATTTATTTTAATTTCTATTTCAAGCATCGAAGCAGAAAGCAAATGTGTAGCACATCGTCTGAGACTTGTTAATCAAAAAAGGCATGCATGTGTTGTTGTTGTTTTGTCCAATCCGCAGTACCATTATTCTTTCCCATGTGATTATATTAAAAATTGTATGATTATATTTGGCATGTTGATGTCTGCATGGGTTGCTGTCATTTACCATTGGATTCCTTTTGTACAGTGTGATACAATCTGACAGAGATATATGATGCTTTTTGAATAAAAGTGTTGAAGATGGTGTATTTAATCAGTTGTTAGCTTTATCATTTACAATATATAAATTGTGTAATTTGTATATTTGGTAGAAATTACCCTTCTCTGTGTGGTTGGTCATGTCCTCCCCTATATAAAGATGTTCATTTCCCTTTTGATTTCCACATTGAAGTCACGGCCCCAAAAGTAGGATTTAATTAACCCATCCTCTATTGTCATTGAAAAGCAGGATAATGGCCCATTTGGGAAAAGGGAAGCCACACAAGATGATTTTCTTTACGATGATCGTTGGACCAAAGAGGTTGACAACCTGTTCATAGACCTCCTTGTAGAGGCCCACTTTGGTCTTCAATGGAGACATGGCAGACCAGGGTCGAATGTCTTCGCCTACTTCCGTGGTGTATTAGTTGCAGATCTCAGGGCAAACTTCACGGTCACTGAAGTCAAGGAAAGGTTTGATTTCCTTCACAAGCGTTTCCGAGTCTTTAGTTGGATGCTAAGAAAACATGGGTTGCGCCTCTGTGTCCAGTCCAACGTCCTCACGGCTCCGATAGCAGTGTGGGATGATATCTTCGAGGTATTTTCATAACTTATCATATGAGGGAGCTTAATGAGATCTATTGTTGTTTACACTTCGTTGGTCATAATACACATTTGGGTTACCTTTTCTCTCGCTATTAATAGCATTTTTTTAATAGGATTTTACAAAAATCGATATGCAACTGCCATGTGCTTTTTGTTGTGGGTTTTCTTTTTTTCTTGCCTATGCAGTAAAAGGTAAAACCTTGTACCATTTGTGGTACCTAATAATTGAGTAAAAAACTTGTATGATCAATGTACTGTAAACTCCTACAAAATTGAGTTTTTTCATAAGTTGTGTACTCCTTAATCTGTTTCAGCTTTACTAGTACGCACTTGAAACAATTATTATATAGCAAATTTAATGATGTTCATAGGAGTGCATGTGTTTCCTCAGGCTGCTCATTTTTTTGTGTTTTAGTTGTGTACTATTACCAATATATGCTTAATTATTGTTTGAAGTTAAACTAATGTATTTATGCAGTCCGACCCATTCTCGGTAGCATACCAACATTCTGAGGACCCGCGTTGGCTGGACATACGATATTTGTTCACTGAGGTGTATGAAGCCAGCTCAAATGCATCGAATGTGTTGGACCAAAATTCTACTAATGAAAATTATGTAGCGGCCTTGTACGAACAGTCGTACGTGTTTGAGCTGAGTTCCCTCACCAATGATCCACTACTAAATAGTTCAATCGGAAACAACGTTTGTCAACCAAGATCTACACGAGAACGTCAGGATTCATCCGAAGGCTCAGTGAATACACACACCCATGTGAACATTCAAAGGCGGGGGAGTCGAACACCATTGCGCATTCCCCGACCACCTCGTAAGCCGGCCCCATCTTCATGCAAAGGATCTTCTAGTGACCCGCCTACCTGAACACTTGTGAAGTCGCAACAATTGTTATGGACATTTAAATTTCCTTTATTTTGTGGCTTGTGTTTTGTATTATTATTGACTTTATTCTGATGTACTTTGTTCGGTGCTTATAATCACGAATTCCTAATGGTTATTCGTACGTCATTAACCATCTTCTGATTTATATGTGTGTTCATCAACTAAAGTCTTGTATCTCCGGCCTGTTCAATTCTTTTCCCATTGTTGAAGTGTTATTTCATTTTTATTATAACTATTCAAAGAAAAACCCAAGTAACCTTGAACTTATAATCCACTGTTCAAACAAAAAATTAGATAAAATTAAATAAAGTACCAAAAAAATGAAAACCAAACACATCCAATCCCGTTGCAACGTACCCTTACATTTAACAATATAAATTTTACATTTTATTGCTACAAACTTATTTCGTTTTCCATCACAATACAAGTCCCGGCATAGGTGGCCACGAAATAGGCCACCCGTCTTGCAGTTACCCCAGCAATTTCCACTGCATAATTTAGCAGTACTGCCACAATTATAAATTATCATCAAGCATCATCATTACATAACACCAATCCCTGCTCATTATTCACACTTTTGTTTGACTATGTTTAAAGTTGAAATAGAAACATAAATAAGTTGAAGAAGACCACAACAAACATAATGAAGTAGGATCAATATTCACTTGAAACCTATACAAAATATGGTAGCCACAAACAAATCCCCCATTACATGCCATTGACCAAACTATAATTGGCATCCATCAAACCAAATTTTATGGAGATTCAAAACACACAAAATATGACTAATAAGCTGGCTATTATACTAACATCCGCACTTACATAAGCAAACTACAAATATACATAAAATACATAGGGCATGTTCGATAACCCTATAAAACACAACCATAGTAGCATTATATAGTCGGGAGTTAAATACCAAAAACAAGTGTAAGCCCAGCTTAATAAATATTCCTCCGTTAGTTGGAATCGACGCATGAGTCCACATCGGACTCATTCTCCCTTAATTCCTTATCGTCATCCATAGGAAGTGGATATTCTTGGATTGGGCTTTGAACCTGCTCCTCGACTTCAAAATCATCCTCCATGACATCCATATGAATTGGGTCTGCAAAGTCTGACTTGGGTTAAGATCGATGTCCACCTAAGCCGCCCCCCGTAAGTTCCACAGCTGCACACACTCATTGTACCATTTGAAGCCATTCCATCGAAAATACAGTTCTATATCCGTCTCCTGCAGGTGTATTAAATATTTTTGGACGTTAACAAATTTCACAGGCTCTTTATCAAAAGATGATAACTATATACACTTACCTCTCTGACGAAATTCCAGTAGTCTCGGTTCACACTAATGAAAGAGCCGTCATCATGAACGCCGACTCCCGGTGTGGTCATGAACCGAAGGAATTCACGGTAATGTCCCTGAAGGTAGTGGATTTTATCACGTACCTTCATCCACAAAAAATCCTTCTGCATGAGCTCCGATTACTGACGGGAGAGTCCGAACCATAATGAATTCACGACGGCTGCCATGTGTACGTTGTCCGTTTCTGCACATTTCTGAAAAAGAGACGATAGCAAGCTTCCTCTTCCTCCTCGGTCCATCCCTCCAACCGGAAGCGGCGCCAATATTACCGAAACTCCTCATCCGATCCATTACAGTGTTGCCTGTTATGTCCACATCGAGAAATTAATTAAAAAAAAAAAACCGTTTAAAGACTTACACAAAAGATTTAGGGTGGGGGAAATAAATATTACCGCAGTACAGTGAATTGAGTGAAGTTGGTGATGCTTTTAATTTGGCATTCACACAACATCCAGTTATATAGCCGGCTTGGACACTTGCACCTCATGGCAACATTACTCCTTCTTTATTTGGGTAGTTACCAATCAACTCACCATGAATGGGAATAATAATTAAGCTTTTCTTTGCTCAAGTGGGTAGGCAAGTAGGATGAATTAAAGGCAGCCAATAATGTGTGTTGTTTTTTGCCCCTGCATGGTCAATCACATGCAAGTGAAGTATAAAAATCCGGTTTTGTGTAGTGCAGATCAATTTAATGTAGCCAGCAAATTTTTCACCATTTCGGGGCCGTCATTATGTAGTGAATTCCATTTTTTTGGGTACATGACCATGACCTAGAATNATTATTATTGTTTTAGTTTTATTATTATTGTGCTCATGCACTTAGTAAAAAAAAATTACGTATATATAGTTATTATATGTAAAATAATGAGTTATATAACGGGAATATCACATTTTGAGTAAATGTAATAATTAGTTAAATCTAAGAATATAAACATAAAGTATTTTACTTTCATTCCATTTAGCTGTTTAATTTCATAAAATATAATGAATAATCTAGTTTTTCAAATTTGAAGGTGGAGACCAATTAATTAGTTTATGTTATAAAACTAGAGAGAAAGAGAGAGAATAGAGAAAATGTATTCTCTGAGGTGTGTTTTTCATTATAACTGAAGCTCCTATTTATAGGAAACTCCTGATGGCACAAATTGTAATAATACAAATACATCGAGGTAAAATAGTCATTCACATACATTATTTTATTATTTCATAACACTCCCCCTTGAATGACTATTTTCTAAACATATTTTAATTGATTTGAACAAAGCCCAATCTGCACATCTTCAAGTGTATCTTGTGGCCATCAGGTACCGTTGCTTCAGCACGTCAGGAAAACCCGGTATGACAAAACCTGATCATCTTGAAATAATAACATTGTTTCTTCAGGAAAACCCAGTGGGACAAAACCTGAGCATTGTGGAAACACAACATAACTCCCCCTCAAATAGATCATCTTTAGTGGAATATCCATGTGCTGCCTCGTTAAAACCTTGTCAAGAAAACCCAGTGGGAAAAAACTTGATCGAAGGAAAAAGAGTACAGCTACTCCAGTATCTCTTATCATCGTGAAGAATCATATCATTTATCCAGTAGTCCTCATCATACCATGAATATGCCTCGTTAAAACCTTATTAGGAAAAACAGTGGGACAAAATCCTAATGAAGGAAAAAGAGTACACTATTCATGTGAATACGCCATCCTTGTTGCCTCATTAAAAACCTTGCTAGGAAAACCCAATGGGACAAAACCGCAGCCAAGGGAAAAAGAGTACAACGCGTATTCCATATATTCACCATAATATTTCCATAATTTGCATGAGTATCGTATAAATTCGTTCAGATTTCAGATACTGATGGTATGCCATATCATACTTTGTGCAAATTTTATTCTTAAACTCATTCTCATTATCAATTGATTTCAATGGTCTTACTGTCAATAGTTCCCAATATTCACATTTCAGCTGATTTCATCATCGTCAATATCATTTATATAGTGCTATTCATTTGTTTGTGTCGACACTTATTCATTTCCATTATTCCCCGTAATATATTGAGATATCTCACTATCAATTGATTTCGTCAATATATATGCCTCCTTTCATCACTTATTTGGGGAATTTCAATTTGCACAATACCAACGCCTCTGGCGTATTATTCCACCATAATATAATTTCATATATTTCTCCATCATCAGTATCATTCAGTTTGCACACTTTCAGTGTGATGCATATATCATTTCCAAATTTCAATTATTGATTTTCCCCCTCATCTGAACAGATCCCTGATCTGTATTTTTAGTATTGGATTTCTTGAGGGGAGTTCATATAGTGTCTATTTTGTTCTCGATTTCAACATATATTTGGAGGACTTTGAACTCATATCATTCGTAATGTGCACATTTTTCTTTCAATAGTTCATCATATCAGGTGAGTATATTACTAGCTTCATCACTTGTTTTCATTCTTTCATAATCATCTTGTGTCATTCTTTGATCAAACCATCTCGTAACTTCAGGTTACGTGTTATATACACATTTTTGATCAAATCATCTCGTAACTTCATGTTACGTGTCATATATTCATTATTTGATCAAATCTCGTAACTTCGAATCACACACATGTGGCTATCTAGTGGATCCATAATCTCTAGTAGCACACATGGAGGGGTAGTGGGCCCATATATATCGTACCCCTTTCATACTCAGATTGATCATATATCGATTCACAAATATTTAGCTAGTAATATTTTTCACCAATCGGGAACAAGCATCTCATATCACAAAGAATAAGTTCATCATGCAAACCATCATCAATAATATCGGTAAACATTTTTAAAGTGATCACAATAATTCGTTGTGACATGTTTATCACAAACATTTCACATCATCTTTCGGCGGCAATAAATGCACTTTAAGTGTAGGCTCTGGTATAATATCTTTTAACCACTGTTTAAATCCAGAATCGTATCATGCTGTCTGACACACAAACTTTTGAACATTGTTTAAGTCCAGAGTCGTATCTCATACGCATCATATTTTTCTATAAATTATCAGGTAATTCATTCAATTTTCTTTAACAAAGGTCCGAATTTACAAATGGATTTAGCACTCTCAAATATCCGTAAATATTATTCTTTTCTTCCGAAAAATATCATAAAAAGGATTTATCGCTCTCGATTAGAAAGATTGAGGATGCTAATGAATAATGGTATTCCAAATGATGTTAGATGGTTGATCGAAGCACAAGTTCGATTGTCTGGAGAGTTTCCAAATTCATATAAATATATGCCAGGTATGGGTAAAAGTACTTATGCAAAGAAACGAAGAGCAAAAAGGTTAGGTGGATGCTTCAAATGCGCTCGATGGACTTGTGACACACGATGTATATCTGTGGGGTACGTGTCCAAAAATCGAGAAGATAAAATAACGTTTATAAAGGATGGATTGAGTAAGGAGTCTTTGGATCAAACGATTCAACAGATTCTTGAGACACATCCTAGTGGATACGTGCATCGTGAGCTTATGTCTTTATGGATTCAGTTAAAAAATGAAGAAGAACGTTATAGTCTCGAAAATATTATTTCAAAAGATCAAGTTTGTAAGACTGGTCTTGTTAGTATGAAAAATCATACTAATACAGTTTAGTATGTTGTACTGTAATTTTCTAGAAAAACTTATAGTTGCCGACAGATAAGATTTATTTAAAACCCAACACCTTATCTGTCAGTTGCAATTTGTCAGAAGAAAACAGTAAAATTATTTATTGCTTTGTAAAACTTTCTATTTAAATAGCGAGTCGTTCATCATAATCATATGCCTCACAAAGTTTTGAAAAATTCAGTTTATCAATAAATAGATGGATGTTTCAGAGTCTTCGCAAGGTAATAATTTTCTTCAACCGATCAAAACCATATGTGTTCTTGGTGGTTCTAAACTGGTAAGTTTTTCTCAAACTATTGATATTGTAAGTCAGTTAGTTAAAGAGATGGGGAATCAAAAAATCAATTTGCTGTATGGAGGGACTAGCAATACTTTCTATGATAGTCTCTTAATGGCTGGACAATGTTTTGAGATAGAAGTGAAAAGTATCATACCTTTTCGTAGAGCTTCAACAAAGGTCGTCAAGGATTCCACAAGCATGATGTTAACTCATTCCATTCATGATTGTATGATGGATATGGTGAACAATAGCGATGCTTTTATCATTCTTCCAGGCGGGTATGGAACGCTAATGACAATGTTCACCATTGCTTTATGGGCAGAATTGAAACTTCATAACAAGCCCATAGGTCTATTGAACTTTAATAACTTCTTTCATGGTTTGCTTGGATTTTTAGACATAGGAGTATATCAAACCTTTATATCTCCTTCAATGAGAGAAGTATTCAAATCTGCTGACACGTCTGCTGAACTTATCAAAAAGCTTCAAGAATGCATCACATTTCAAGATTCTGTGGAAACACAAGGGGTCAAGCGAAAAAGAGCTTTTGATCCTTTAGATCTCTCATTATGAACCCAGATATTATTCAAATATGAACCCAGATATCATTCATGGGTGGCAGAGTTACGGAGTTTTACACTCTCGAGACGCACCCTTCTTTTATGGGTTCTATTATGTAATCTTTGCGTATTTTGTATTCATCGAGTATTTACTGCCTCTTTTCCATATTTCCACCATCTGAACATTTTGTACTTGTTTAATAATATCAATTTCGATTTTTCTCAGTGTATAATAGTTCATGACTACAATCATTATCATTTGTGCTTCTTCCGGAGCACTTTATTGTAATATCTGTATGATCTCGTATCCCAATGTGATCTCGTCATCTGATATAGCCCCTTAGACTTATATAATATATTGAGAAATCATTTTTGTGTGATCACCCATAGCTGGTAGCTTTTGATACCACTTTCTCATTTTGTTCAATCATCCAATGGTAGCTTCTAGTACCATTTCATCACTTTGTTTAATCATAAAGTGGTAGCATCCAGTACTACTATACCATGATATCATTTAATCATTATGCCATAACTTCCGACATCACATTAATCATGTGGTAACTTATAGTATCATCTCATCAATATTCATATCTCCATAAATTTGGAGAATTTATCAACTGATACTTCAGGACCAGGTTAGTCCATATAATGTCTGTTCATGACAAGGACTTTAATTAACTTTCACATGGTCAGATACAAAGTATCATTAATTTCACTCATTGGCTATCACTTAATTTGTACTGCCCATCGCCGGCGGCAGTGCCGCACTGGCCGACCCATGTATATGTATAGCCATTCATTTGTTGCACGTGGCGTTGCCACCTGGCCATTCTATATCACCGGTTATCATTAATATACTGACTGATCCATTTAGTCGTTCAATATTATCTGTTGCTGGTGGCTGCAACACTTGGCCATTTCATATGATCGGTCATATTTCTTTATAATATTTTTGATCAATAATTGACCCGTTGGTTACCATTAAATATTACTTGCCGGCGGCAGAGCCGCACTGGCTGATCCATATAGCCACACATATTTCTTTTCATATCACAAGGGTCAATCCATAAATATTCGCACGTTCATGTACCAAATAATAGAAGAAAATCAACAGTTCATAATGACAATATATATTAATATAATTCAATAAATCATATCAATATTGGTCTTAAATCGAAGCTCTATTTAAATGAAATATTATGAATTTGTAAATTTCTAATTTTGATAATGTATGCTTTTGTATTCGAGAAAAAACTATTTGAAGCTCAATGAATAATATTGAAATGTTTTATTGATTTTTCATGCTTTGTTTGACATGATGTTGTTGCAGTCGGCACATGCATCAATGTCAATTTTCATATTTGTTTGATTGTATGACTAAGACATCTAATTTGATCTCTCTTCAAGATATATTAAAATAAAACAATAATAAAATTGACTAGTGGATCAAGAGTCCCATTTTAGAGTGAAGTTCTTAAATGTAATCAATGCGGAAGAGAAATGTTATCTTTTTCATCAAATGAATGCTTTTATAAAAAAAATGTACGACCTTATAGCTGCCGACAATAATTATGCGACACTTAAAAATATGCTAAATTTATTACTTACCGGAAGAGAAGGTGGCGAAGGCAGTAGCCAGCAGGCAGTGTTCAAAGCCCTTCTTTTCAATTCAACTATTGTCTGCTCAGCTTCCACAGCTTATGGTTTTCATTTTCCAAATAATATAGGTAAAACCTCCAAGTACACAAAGTAGAGCTCCAAGTGCCAAATGATTAACTATGTAAGTACTTTGAAGGAATATTGCATTGTTTATCCTTGGATTNTTAATATGACTATTTATTAGATAAAAAGGTGTTGATTTCTGGTGGTGCTGATGGTAAACTCCGGCTAATAATCATTATGAATTTTTATTTCTTCCAGCACAATTGCTTTCTCTAGCTTTCCAAAATCAAAAGTTGATTCTTCTTGATTTATGTAGGTTGTGATGAGTGACTACAATAAACATGAGAAAAATCGAGAGTTTCGGGATGAAGTTGATGAAGAAAATAATGATTTGTAATAACTCAATTTTTGATACAGAAGATCGTCTATAAGACGCAACTGTAGAGCATACTTTCGTCATATTACAAATCGAGCTCTAGAGGGTAGAAAATCGTGCTGATAACGTGTTATAAAACTAGAGAGAAAGAGAGAGAATAGAGAAAATGTATTCTCTTAGGTGTGTTTTTCATTATAACTGAAGCTCCTATTTATAGGAAACTCCTGATGGCACAAATTGTAATAATACAAATACATCGAGGGCAAAATAGTCATTCACATACATTATTTTATTATTTCATAACAGTTTAAATGTTTTGCTATGTCCTTGTAGCCAATTAGTTATAAAAAAATATGTAATGAGAAAAAAAAAACATATTTTTTATGTTCATATAAATCATTTTCATGTATCTTGTACATGAAAATGAAAGTTTATCATAACTATTATTATCATTTATGTTATGTTACATAAAGGTGGCAAAAATGTTTAGTATAATAAAGCTATAACCACAACGTGCCTATCAACATATAAATATATCATTTTACTCACAAATTTTAGAAATCCTCCAATGAAAAAAAAAGACGTAATTTAATTTTACTATCTTTTATTGCATTAACATGGAAAGTATAATTGATTAGCCAAACAATGACAATGAACGAGTAGTGAACTCCCTTGACACACAAACATGCATACGGCTACATTAATTAAATTGATAAAGGAAATACAAATTTTATGTTGCAGATCAAGAATGATGTTCCTTCATTGCTCACCATGGTATATTATTTAATTTACATCACAAGAAAAAAAACCTGTTAAGATTCGAATTATTCCTAAGCTAAGACTAATTTCGATCTGAAGTATTTAATTACATAACATATGACCTCAACCGGACAAGTTCAGAAAGGATCATTATCAACTTGCACAATTCGCAAAATATGAGTTCATGGGAACCTCAGAAATATCCAACCAAAATATATATAGGCAAATAAATAGTTGGTGCCAATGTCACAAAACCAAAAGCATAAGTTCACTGACCAAATGTATGACCCTAGTACATGTGTAGATGTTGATCGGCCTCATGAAAATGACTACTACACGCATCCTTGGAGAATATGGGTTCACATCCACATACATTACTTAAATAGAGATATAGTTGAATTTGCAAAACGACAAAATGTGATGCACCATTTACCATATACATAAAATGACAATGACATACCTTTTCTTTCAACAATCAACTGGACAAGATCTGTTGCACCATGAAGCACTTTGCAACATCATCAAGGATGAAAAAGAGGTCCATCTCGTCTATGTTTTTGAATAAGTAACGCACGACAACTACCCTTTCATCTGTTGTTCTGTTTGGAATTTTTTTAAGTGCCTCATAAACGACAATTCGTTGCTTTTTTGCATCAGCTTGGTTTGTAAAACGTGTCCCGACAATTCAGTAAGATGCTTGTTCGTCTCCTCGCAAACGGATGAAATTAGCCCGATTATTTTATCCTTCACCTCAACATTACGCTTTCTTTTCCCGTCACGCTTAGACTTACCGGACGCACTACTCTCACCCGCTTGGGCCGAAAAAGAGTCCATGTTGTTTTCAAGGTCATCACAATGTTCCGGAAACGAGTCTTGAGTTGGGATAGGGCTAGGTGCATGGACGTTTGTTTCATGTAACACTCCATTAACCACGTCCGTAAAACCTTGAGCTCCCTCGCCCGTAGCCCGGTCCTTGCCAAATATTTTCACCCAATCACCATAAAAGGGCCAAGATTTATAATGCATTCCCTTCACCCTTGGATTAGCCTAAAAGAAACGAAATGTAAATAAAATTAATTTGTCCTTAAATTACTTTTTCATCAAAATACATAGTAAAATGTGTAAATCTAATAATTACCTTGATGTTGGATTGCCAAACGACATCCTCCTTCACAACAATCATGTTTTCCATTTCACACCATTCGAACCCCGAAGTTCCAAGCATTCCCAATATTAAGCCATAATTCTTTTTCCAAACCGTAATCTTTGATGATATGTGTGGTTGGGCTTTTATGTTAGTACATGGGAAACACTGGGCCATATGTTGCTCTAATATGTTGGTGTATCCAGAGAGAAATCCGATGTCGCATTTCCAAGCTTCCAGCCCCGCGAAACAAGATCGCGCAAACCTTGAATTAATGCACTTTCCTCGTCCCTCGTCCAAACTCGACGTTGTCCGTTGGCCTGTGAATTGCGTCCCCCACTAGCGGTGGATTCCATCACTAAGTCATGACAAAAGAAAGAAACCAATACTTGTAGGTTAATCGGTTCAACAACCACAATACAATATATTGTAATGAAGAAAAACCATAATGTAGGAGGGCAAACTCTNCACAACCAAAGCAAAAAGAAACGAAATAAACATTCAGTCACACATATATATTGTCATTCACAAATAATTGTTTTGCACAAAAAGAAAAATCATAAATAAATATGAAACGTTGTTTGCATCGGTGTTCAACTACGACCATCCCATTCATTAAACATTAAAAGAGCCAAAGCATCCCGCATATTTGTCCATTCTGTGCTGGGCTTTACAATGTCTACATAGTCAATGGGGTCATGAGGCTCGAGGTTTTGGTTCTCATTCGTCATAGAGTCTCCCTCATTCTCCATAGGGTCAACATTCATGGTGGTAAGGATAAAGTTTTAAAGAAGACAACATGCGAGTATAATTTTATTTTGAGTATCTATATTGAAATAAGTTTTGCTCCTAAGGACGGCCCATCGCATCTTCAATACTCCAAAAGCTCGCTCGATTATATTTCGCGCTTGAGCATGTCTTAAGTTAAACAACTCTCTATGGTTTGTAGGCACTCGGTTACCCTCACCAAACTCATGTAAATGGTACCGCACACCCCTATACGGAGCCAAGAATCCCAGATCGTTTGTGTAGCCGGCATCGCAGAGGTAATAGTTCCCTATATTTGCAACAGATCCCCCCACAAAAAGACCAATAAAAAAAATTAATATACAATTAAGATATAAATAATTAATACCAAAAATTTTCGATAAGTAAGGAATTAGTATTACATTGTTACATAAATATATTTAGCATTAACCGGTTGGTACACGAAGACCCCTTTCTCGTTGAACGGCGTCTCGTAAAACCATATTATCTGCCGCTGAACCTTCTCAACCGATCAATACGTACGAAAAATTCATATCTTGCGTGCAAGCCCCAAGCACATTCACGGGAACAAAACCTTTTCTGTTTTGATATCGTGCGTGTAGTCGTACATGAACACCCACAGGAACATAGGTTCCATCCAACGCTCCTAAGCATCCCTGTGATCAATGCACACCAAAATCAAATTGTATACTTTATAGTAAGTAGTTGAATTTAAAGTTTAGTTCAACAGAAATGTAGAAAAATGTTGTCCTCACCTTAAACCATCTCCATCTCCAATCTGTGCATGAATCGGTTTTAGGGCTACTTTCGGCAACGAGGATGGGGTGCATCCGCAGGACGACTTTAAGTACATTGTAGAAGAATTTGCTTATTGTTTGACCAGATTGTTTAAAATCAAATTTAACAACACGATTTTTTTTTTATGGTGAGCTAACACACATAGAAAAATTACTACTTGTTCACTTATTTGAATATCTCTGGTGTTCCGTAGGCCACCAATATATTCCACCAAGTAGCATAAATGCCCAAAGGTGTTTCGATCCATGCGAAGTTGTTCAATGCATGTTCTGTCACTTATTTCTACCAACACTTTCATATGCTCAATTTGAGACGGAAGACGGTTTGACATACTATAGGATGCTCTTCTAAGCCAACGTCTAACTCTACGATGTTGTCTTGGTTGTACAACCAGCTTAATGTAAACGTACGCAAGCAGAAGATACAAATTACGTAGATTTATTAAGTCCTCAACGAGCAACAATACTAGCGCCTCTTTCGATTCTATGTCCATGGTTATTCTGATGATGCAAAGAAAAATACATACTTGGCCATGAATGAGTTAAGTGAGAAGACAATTGTTTTTAATCTTTCATACACTGTAAATTAAAAGGTCTACCAAAATGTGATAAAAATTGAAGTCAGGTTTACTGAACATTAATTATTTCTTTTCACCAAAGAACAGATCTGTCACACATAAATTTCCTTTAACAACTGTTGCTATGTGTATAGAAAAATGTACAAAATGTTATCCCTAAACGTCGGCCATTGAAAAAAAAAAGAGAAATCGAAATATGCACTGAACATAATAACCAACAACACTTTAGTCACAACCGGAAAAACAAGTATGTCCTATATCAATTTTGTCATGAGAAGCAACCAAGTGACAACAAAAAACATGAACAGAGCTTAGCCTCCAAGCAACTACAACATATATAGACTACCCATTTTCGAGAATTAGTTTGAAAAAAAAAATTGCAAATCAACAATGCTTGGTTAAATCAAAGCGTAAAAGGGGTTTTACTTTTACGGAGCCGGAAAAAACATTTAAAAATAAATTAAGCTAGGGTTAATTGAAAAGGTACAGAAAAAGTAGTGGTTTCAAGTTTCATGTACATGTGACGGGAAGGATTACGATGTGAAATGCTTCAGCCAAAGTAGTTTTTTCAAGTATCAAGCGCGTTCCTCAATGTTACTGCTGGCCAAAGATTGCGGATGTGGTTTAAGAACAACAATATCTGAAACGAGAGAAAAAGGTATGGCAAACCAAAAACTACATCATTCTTCATCGTTATTGTTAACTGTAGTAGCACAAACTTACAGAGAGAAGTCGACGGCACCCTGTGAAATTTTCACCTCTTCTGCACCTTCAGATCTTGTTTGACACTTCCAAAGACGACGACCTTATATAATGTGGCATTGTGTAATTATTGGGTCACTCAAGGTTAATTCGGTACCAAATGTCAAATATTAGGAACAAAAAAGACATTTATTTCTTTGTGAATTGTAGGGATCCAAAATATCACATGGCCGACATGAGATTATTTAATAGCCAAAACCCTGACTAATGTCATTTAATTCTGGGCGCTACCTAATCCTATGGGCCGCAGTCTTGCAACGCCTGGACTAACAGCATAATCCTATCCTATCTTCTATATCAAACACGCCCTTAGAAGAATACAATAGTCATAGTTCAATTACATTATTCTAACTAACATAAGTTCTGCACGTCGTGAGGCCATCCATCTTGGTCACAACTATTTTCCTCCCTTTGACAGAACACGGAGGAACAAAAGAAGCGAGTTCTGCACATAACCACACGGCTCATATCGGAGAAGGACTAATCTGCCTTTAGTCAAATTGTTGAGCCCAACTCGAGGGCACGAACAACAAGGGGTAAGTTTCTACTCGGCTACTTGCTTAAGGTTTAATCATCTAACCTCAATCCTCATTTCCTAAATTCCTTAACCCTATATTCGTTCTTAATTTTTTACTTTTGTCACAATGATATAAGGAATATTTCTTTTTAATTGTCGTTGAGCTTGACACGAATGGTCTCGTGCTGGGAAAGTTGTTTTGAAAAAGAATAATTAGATTGTGAACAGCTGATTGGCTATCTTTACACGAGTAATTCGGAGGCCAACATTTTGAACTCTGTTTGATTGGTTTATGCCTGGTCATGTTGTGTTTGATATGCTTTTATTGTGCAACCTAGGATAATCAACAACATATGAGGTTGGGTTGAAAAAGTTCAGTTGATGATGCTAGTGTTTCCTTTCTAGTGTTGTAATTTGGAAAGCCTTAACTGTATCTCTATAATTTAGAAAACTTGAATTTGAAGGATCACATTTTGTATAGAACAATGTCTGGAATTTGTTATAGAAAACCTTCACTATTTTACAATTTTATTTTTAATTTTTATCATAGATGATGGAAGGACTGGAAAATTTGTTATCGGGAATGACAGTTTCTCCGCATCCCTCTTGGATCTTCCCACTGTTGTGGAGTCTTACAAAACATACGACGACAATGTGTTGATAAAATCTGCAGATATTGGTCAGGTAGTCTGTTACCAAATTTTCAAATTTCCCTAGCTATTTTGTATTTGCTGAGGTCAAGTTAAACTATTTTAGGTTGTGACAGATGATAATGGTGAAAGAAGAAGGTGACAGTTTCCCAGAAAAAGCAGAGTATAAGCATGGACTTACTCCACCAATGAGGGATGCTCAAAGACAAAGATTTCGGCGGGAGCCTGGTTTGAATGTAACATGAGATTTCCACTTATTACCATCGACAAATGCTTGGTGTTTATTTGTGATAAATGTATTTTTAAATCCAAGAGTACTTATTAATGATATTGTGTTGTTTGCAGCCGGAGGTTGTCTGTTGTGTCGAGAAAGATATGAAAAACATCATGGCTGGTGGAACAGCTGAGAATTTTGATAAACTTGTATTTTGTTACTCTTCATGTGTGTGTGTGTGTGTGTCTATTTCTGACTGTGCGTGGATATGTGTATCAATTTTTTATTTTTTTTTGTGTGAAAGATAAGTTAGTAATCTAGGTTAGAGCATCCAATTATTAATTTGATGATCGTCACATTAATATCTGCCTTTGATACTCTTATAATACATCTCCATGCAAAAAAAAAGGCTTGTTTATTGCGTATAAGATCCCATTGTCAATTTAAATCTTGTCATTAGCTTTTTCTCCATTTAGCATTGTAGGCCAATCGTTTCACTTGACCTGTGTCTTGTGGTGTTCAAAACATTGCATAAAAGCACAATTTGAATATAGATTCCGATGTTCCTTGACTGATTAATTACTTGCCGAAATGGTGCCAGAAGAGTCAGGTGATGAAAATGCCCGTAATGCTGGTAAGAATGTGGTTTCAACATCTTCAGCAAAGCCTGATGTGCCTGAAACTGAAATGGTAGGTGGGAGTGATTCAGATGAGACTGATGATTCTATGTGAACCGAAGCCGATTTGGTTACATGCAAAGCTGTTCTTGGTCTGTTAAGTTGATGATGAGGTGAATGTTCGCCACGTGTCAATGACTCAATAGCCTTAAAAAAATCATGTTGTCCAGTTTGTGCATCTCCACAAAGTTTTCTGGGGTCTGCTTTCTCTTGGTTTTTCCTTTTCTTATTTTTTAATTGGGAGTTCTGTATGATGTTCATGCGAAGAAGTTCAGTTGGGTATTAACACTAATACTTGTATAGTGTCAAATCCAGACTTTTTGCATTTGTCTAGTTTTACCTGAGGTTCAGAATGGTTGTTATTTAATCGCATATTATTGACATTCCCTTGTTAAATGAGAGAGAAATGTTGCCAACAAGTATTTGCATTATTACCTTACATGAGAAACAATGCAGCTCTTGCTCAATCAAGCACTTTTCTTTATCAGAATGTTCTCTTTTTTCTCTGTTGACAGTTATCAGAATGGTTTTTATTTTCACATTTTTATATGGTCTCTCTGTGGGTGGCTTCACATTCACTTTGATCTTTGTTGACTAGTCAAATCTCATTCGTTGTTTGACCACGACTCCTAGTGTTGTTTTGGCAACTTTAGATTGGTAACTTTCCTCAACAAGGGGTGAAACTATGGTAGACAATATGACATTACTCACCAAGATAATTTATGGTTTTGAATTTTTCTGCATGAGTTAATAGTCCATCGTGTATTAGGTACATTAGTAGCTCTCAATTCTCATAATGTATTTTACCATGGTGGAACTTGACAGAATTGCTGCGTAATTGATAACTATGTAATGACTTGGAGTAGGTGGAGGATACGGATACCTTCCGTGCTGGAAATCTGTTATGTGTGTGGCAGAGAACATCTATTCAAGCTTGTTACTAGGCTAAATATCTTGACATTGTTGCCTCTAATTTCTGCATGCAGTTCTGCTAATAGGTTGGATATATGTATGTGTGCTTAGTCACCACTNACAAATTATATTTTTAAAATTTAATCATTAGGAAAAATAAATTAATGATTGTTTTTTTTTTTTTTTTTTCGAAACGATAGATATCATTATAAAACTTATAAGAGAACAACATTCCAATACAAGGTGGATACCCCAATCAAATCCTGAACTAAAAAATGAGAGGCACATCAACATGATGGCCTAGAGCCTAAGCTAAACAAAATGAAACTAAAGAGAGCAGGAAACCATGGCCACTGCCATAAGGCCTAGCATTAATCTCCTGCTCCAATCCAACTACTACAAAACACCAAGAGAAACCAAAAGGAACAAACTGAAAGCTAAAACCAGAATTACAAACACAAAGCACAAAGCTAATAAAACCAAACTAACACTGACCACTATCCCATCTTAATGAACAGAAGAAAATTCGATCCATTCCGCATGAACTGTTTTCAGGACTAATGGAATAGGCATAAGGTTATTCTGAAAAATCCACAAGTTACGGGTCTTCCATAACCACCATAGCAAGTAAGTAGTCAATTGAATTCTGTGGTTGGAGACCTCTGATTTAGCAATGTAACAAACCTGTAGCCACCAATGTTTGAAGGATGATTCAAAAGGTGATAATCCATCCCAGGAAATTGGAGCCCTCTCCATAAACTTTTAGCTCTGTTGCAAAAGAACATCAGGTGCTCTACTGTCTCAAGTGCATCTCCACAACTCCTGCATCTTCCTTCAAGCTCCAGTCCTTTCTTCATCAAATTGGCTAGAGTAGGCAGAGTGCCATTGAGGCATTTCCACAAGAAAAGCTTGAGTTTGCCTGGGATATGCAAAGACCAACTCCTCTGAAGGGCATTTTTCATGGGAATAGCATTGGAGCTGCTCTCAGGTTGATCCATAGATAGAACCTTCTGCAAAACCAGGTGTTTATATGTGCTAGAGACTGAGAATTCTCCTTTCCTGTCAATACCCCATAAGAGCCTGTCATTAGCATTTGGCTTCAAAGTTTTGATGGCTAATATTGCCTTACTGTCACCAGCAGAAAAAACCTGTTCCACAAGCCATTGGTTCCAGTTAAGCCCATCAGCAAGCATCAGTTCATTAACATAAATAAGATGACCACTGGCCAGCTCTAACAATTCAGGCCTATTCTTGTCAAGGTTTGGAACCCAGTTGAAGTCAGTAATTCTAGTTTGCAAGCCACTTCTAATTTCAATTTTCAAACACTGTGAGAATACAGGAAGAACTTTAAGCCAACAGCTCCATAGCCAAGAGTCTTTGTGTGATTTGACAGTTTTAACCAAAGAAGTGTTGGGAAAGTACCTATCCTTCAAAATTCTGCTAACAAGTAAGTCAGGCTGAGAGATTATTCTCCATAACTGCTTACAAATCAAAGCAATGTTAAACAGTTTGATATCATGAAATCCAATCCCTCCATTTAACTTAGGTACTGTCAATTTAGACCAACTCTTCCAGTGAATGCCATTTGTGCTATCTTCATTGGTTTTCCACCAAAATTGAGCACACCTTTTAGCAATTTCTTTGCATATACCTTGAGGCAGCATAAAATAGGACAACAGGGAGAGATTGTATGACAGCTTTTAAAAGAACCTCTTTACCAGCCAATGAGAGAAGCTTGGATTTCCATCCTTGCAGCTTGCCTTGAATTGAATTCAACAGGTAAGCAAAAACATCCTTCTTAGACCTGCCAATACCGAGAGGCAACCCCAAATATCTAGTTGATCTGTGACATTGAATGCCATTTAGGGCAGTGCACACTCTTTGCTGAATATAAGAAGGAGTATTCCTACTAAAGAAAATGGCAGAGTTTTGCAAATTAACAGCCTGACCAGTGAAAAGCCTATATTTGTTCAACAAATTCAAGAGAACCTCAACTTGATCAACACCAGCTCTACAGAAAAGCAATGAATCATCTGCAAACAACAGATAAGAGAGGAGAGGACCATTCTTAGAAAGCTTCATCCCATGCAATTGACCAGAATTCACAGCATCCCATATAAGAGCAGAAAATAATTCAGCCAAAATAATGAATAGATAGGGGGATAGAGGGTCCCCCTGTCTAATGCCCCTAGAAGGTTTGTTGAACCCACTCACAGCCCCATTGACTTTAAAGGAGATTGTAGATGATGAAATACAGACAAGAATCAACTTCACAAAGTCTCTATGAAAACCCATTTGAATCATGATTTGTTTGAGACTATGCTACTCCACCCTATCAAAGGCTTTCACAAGATCCAATTTGAGAGACATGAACCAGTTTTTACCAGTAGTGTGCCTGTTGAGAAAGTGAAAGGCATCCTGGGCAATAATCACATTGTCCATAAGCTATCTCCCTTTCAAAAAAGCAGACTGAGAATTGCTGATACAGCTATCTAAACAGAGTTTCAGTCTTTGAGCAATAATTTTGGATAAAACTTTATAAACCACTGTACATAGACTGATTGGTCTAAACTGGTTCAAAGAGTCAGGCAGAGGACATTTAGGAATCAGAGAAAGGACTGTATGGTTCCAATATTGTAAGAGTGCCCCAGATTCAAAAAAACTCTGAATAGCCATGATAAAATCACATTTAATTACCTCCCAAAAATGTTGGTAGAAAAGGGCATTCATACCATCTTCTCCCGGGGATTTGTCAGGGTGGAGACTGAATAAAACATTTTTAATTTCTGACTCACCAACAGGTAGGAGCAAAGAATGATTCATATCTTCTGTAATAGACTGAGGTATCAGGTGAATCACAGAGTCACAGCCTATAGAGCCTTCAGAAGTAAACAGATTGGAGTAAAAATCAGCTATGTGGGATTCTATTTCCAATTGGGAGCTGAAAACTTCACCTCTGGAAGAGACCAGTCTTGTGATTGCATTCATTCTTCTCCTCTGCTGTGTGTAGGCATGGAAAAACTTGGTGTTTCCATCTCCCTCTTTAAGCCAGGTGAGCCTTGACTTCTGCTGCCAGTAAGATTCTTCCAGAAAATGTGCACTATTAAGCTCTTGTCTTACTTTGGCCCATGTTTCCCATTTATCATCAGAAGGATCTTCTCTCAAAAGTTCCAGCTTTTTAGTCAATGCTAAAATGTTCCCCTGATTCTGAGTGTGAAGAGATGAGCTCCATTGGAGAAGAGCCACTCTGGTAAGCTTGATTCTTTCCTTGAGTTTGAAAAAAGGAGTACCCTGCACCATAGTAGCCCAAGCTCCCTTGACAACTTTAGTGACCCCATCCATGCTAAGCCATCTCTTGTCAAAGCTATACCTCCTTGGCTTTCTGCTTGCATCATTCTCCAGTTCAATAAGAAGCAAAGAGTGGTCAGAAGAGCTCTTGACCAAATTATGAATTCTGACATTAGGAAAAGACCGCAACCAATCTATAGACCCAAACACTCGATCCAGTTTTTCTTCTACAATCCCCTCATTCTGTCTATTATTGCACCAAGTGAACTGATATCCAACCATATTCACTTCCTCCATTTCCATATTGCATATAAAATTGTTGAATCGAGAAAAGCTGCTATTGTTCCTAGTTACTCCTCCACTCTTCTCCACATTGGATTTAATAGCATTCCAATCTCTAGCCATGAACCATTGGTTGCCCCATTGCAGCTTTAAGGATTCAAAGATAAGCCACTGCTCTGCTTTCTGCACTCTACAGGTACTGAGGTATACAAAAATGCCCCATTGCTTGTCAAGAGAAGGATGTTGAAACTCCACTGCTATGAAGAAACTTTCACTTTTAATCTGAATAATGGTAATAGAGCTGTCCCACATAAGCAATAGACCACCACTTAAGCCTTGAGGGCTAACAATAGCTAATCTGTCATCAAACCCAAGCTTCCTACTGACAGACTTAACAAAAGGAGTTGCTTTTTTAGTTTCTGAAATGAAAACAAAAAGTGGATGGTGAGACTTTAAAGTCTCTCTGATTTGGGAAACTGTAGAGGGCCCACCCAGCCCTCTACAGTTCCACACCGCAGCTAGCATTGGGTACTTGGGTGCCATTCTAGGCTGGCCTCCCCCACCTTTCCCTGAGTCTGCTTCAATTTCTTATTCAATGATCTCCCAACAAGTTGTTCCTCTTATTCTTGATCTGATTCTGGAAGGTTAATTCTGGTTCTCTTATCCCCCAAAAGACAGATAGCTTTTTCCTCAGAGGGTTGTTGTCTCTGTAACCTGCCTGATTTAGAGCTGGTTCTCCTCCATGTTTTGGATGTTCCAATACTGGTTCCCCTAATAACTTGCATTGGTTCAGTTGAGATGGGATCTCCTTCCATTTGTGTATTAATCTCAACTTCCATTCCATTCAGAATTTCCTCATTGCCTGAAACTGCATTAATTGATATCTTTCCAGCTGGAGCTGGATTTCTTGGAGGATCTAAGGGATGTGAAAGAGAGTCCTCCTTCAAAGAGTTGGATGCAACTGTATCAGCTCTATTTTCAGTGATAGGA